CATAGAGTAGCTGGGATTACAGGCACGCACCACCATGCCCAGCTAATTTTTTGTATTTTTGGTAGAGACGGGGTTTCACCATGTTGACCAGGATGGTCTCGATCTCTTGACCTCGTGATCCACCCGCCTCGGCCTCCCAAAGTGCTGGGATTACAGGCTTGAGCCACCGCGCCCGGCTATATTTAACTTTTTAGTGAAACTTATTATAGCATCATAGAATGTTTTGAGGTAGAGACAGATATACCCTAGATTTTTTTCTAAACAGGCAATGATCCCAAAATAACATATTTAATTCTTTCTTTAACGATTAAAAATGTTAGCTTTATTGATTATTAAACTCACATACATATATATATACACATGCATACATACACATGCAATTTAAACATACCAATCTCTTTCTGGATTCTGTTTCATTGATCTATTCCTGTGCCCAAACTATATCTCATTGTTTTAAAAATCGGTTTTTTTTTTTTTTGCACTTTGGAACTTTAGAAGGCTGAGGCAGGCAGATTACTTGAGGTCAGGAGTTTGAGACCAGCTTGGCCAACATGATGAAAACCTGTCCCTACTAAAAATACAAATATCAGCCAGGCATGCTGGTGGGTGCCTGTAATCCCAGCTACTCAGGATGTTGAGGCAAGAGAATCGCTTGAACCTGACAGGCGGAGTTGGCAGTGAGCCAAGATCATGCCACTGCACTCCAGCCTGGGCAAAAGAGCGATACTCCATCTCAAAAAACAAAATGAGCAAACAAAAAAATCCAGTAATTATCTAGTAGAATTGTTCAATTATTCTTTTAAAATTTTTTCTTTTTTTTTTTTTTTGAGACGGAGTTTCGCTCGTTACCCAGGCTGGAGTGCAATGGCGCGATCTCAGCTCACCGCAACCTCCGCCTCCTGGGTTCAGGCAATTCTCCTGCCTCAGCCTCCTGAGTAGCTGGGACTACAGGCATGCGCCACCGTGCCCAGCTAATTTTTTGTAGTTTTAGTAGAGACGGGGTTTCACCATGTTGACCAGGATGGTCTTGATCTCTTGACCTTGTGATCCACCCGCCTCGGCCTCCCAAAGTGCTGGGATTACAGGTTTGAGCCACCGCGCCCGGCTTAAAATTTTTTCTTAGATATTTTTATATGTTTTCTATTGTAAACAAACACATTTTTAAAATCAACAAAAATAACAGATCCGCGAGAAAGGAAAAATCCTTTATGGTCAACCTATTCCTTCTTTGAGACCCTTTCTAGTGCTGCTCACTTACCTGCTATGATACTCTGCTAGCGAATTTTCTTCTTCCAGGATCTTCCTTCCTGCAAAGTCAATGGTGACCTTCTTAGAAAGTCGAGAGGCGTGTCGAAGTTCTCTTAGTTCCTCCTCTCGCTTCTGCAAGGTTTCCCGCTCAAGTTTGGACAACCACTGGTTAGAATCACTGGCAAAGTAATCTGATTCATCATCAATGACTTGAGTCCTTCGAATACTGAGAAAAAAGGAACACATGGCAATTAGGTCATCTGTTGACAAATAAGGACCAATTACTATAAAACTGTTTCAAGGTAGCTTACTATCTCAAATACAGATGCCCCAAAATATTCCAAAAGCAGCTCGAGCTCTGCATGTGTTTCAACTCCATTGTAGGCTCAGCTCCTAGAACTTATCTCAACTTCAGGCAAGAAAAAAAACAGCACCATTATCCACTGTCCTTCTATGTTTCTTATTAGTCCAGCCTCTACCTTCTGATAATTGGGCTTCAGCCTCGTTTTGCTGCATCTGAGTTCATGTTTGACGGCTTACTAAGTATCCTAGTTCCTCTGCAATTGGGATCCAGTCTATTCTTGCTAGGCTTTTTTGCTTATTGGAGTTTTATGCTTAAGTCTCAGTTCTGTAGCTGAATTATTTATTCTTTTTTTTTTTTTTTTAGACAGAGTTTTGTTCTTGTTGCTGAGGCTGGAGTGCAATGGTGTGATCTTGGCTCTCTGAAACCTCCACTTCCCGGGTTTAAGCGATTCTCCTGCCTCAGCCTCCCAAGTAGCTGGTATTACAGGCACGCACCACCACACCTGGCTAATTTTTGTATGTTTAATAGAGACAGGGTTTCTCCATGTTGTTCAGGCTGGTCTCAAACTCTCAACCTCAGGTGATCCGCCTGCCTCGGCCTCCCAAAGTGCTGGGATTACAGGCATGAGCCACCACGCCCAGCCAACTATTTACTCTTAAGACATTCTATTACCCTGCTACTATATGTCATTACCTATACCCCACTTTCCAGGCTCTCACTAACGCACTGTGGCCAAGTTTCAAGATATGACAATCAGGCCTATCCCTAAGATCATACTGACAGAGAAACTAAAAACTGGAAAGAATCTTGATGGTCTAACTCTCTCATTCTACATATAATGAACCTGGGGCTCACAGAAGTTGGGTAATTACTCCAATGTCATAAATCCAATTAAGATTAAGTTTCCAGGCCGGGCATGGTGGCTCACACCTGTAATCCCAGCACTTTGGGATGCTGAGGTGGATGGATCACAACGTCAAGAGATTGAGACCATCCTGGCCAACATGGTGAAACTCCATCTCTACTAAAAATACAAAAAATTAGTTGGGTGTGGTGGCGCACGCCTGTAGTCCCAGCTACTCGGGAGGCTGAGGCAGGAGAATTGCTTGAACCTGGGAGGGGGAGTTTGTAGTAAGCTGAGATCGCACCACTGCACTCCAGCCTGGCGCCTGGTGACAAAGCGACACTCTGTCTCAAAAAAAAAAAAAAAAAAAAAAAAAAGATTAAGTTTCCCCATAATTACAAAGAGTGATATAAATAGACCTAAGGGAATTACTGAAGTTAGATTCATATATTGACTTCAAATTTTCATACTCAGCTAGAATTATAAAAAGATTTTGTCTTAGGCCAGGTCTGGTGGCTCATGCCTGTAATTCCTGCACTTTGGGAGGCCAACGCTGGCAGATCACAAACAAAATAAAATAAAAATAAAGCAGACTTGGAGTAGAAGGTTTTTTAACAGCACTCTGGAGGAAATCGGTCTTTTTTTTTTTTTTTTTTTTTTTTAATCTGGCTGTGGCATCCATGCTTGAGTGCAGTGGATTGATCTCTGTTCACTGTAACCTCTGCCTCCCTGACTCAATTGATCCTTCCCCCTCAGCCTCCCAGGTAGCTGAGGTTACAGGCGTGTGACACTATGCTTGGCTAATTTTCATATTTTTTTTTGTATAGATGGGGTTTTGCTATGTTGCCAAGGCTGCTCTCAAACTTCCAGGCTCAAGTAATCTGCCAGGCTTGGCCTCCCAAAGTGCTAGGATTACAGGCATGAGTCACTGTGCCTGGTGGAAACTGATCTTACACAAAAACCTAAATAATGAAACTGGTACCCATGAACACACCAGCAAAGCAGCAACAACAATAGGGAGAGATCCTTTTCCAGTTTATATTTATCAAGAAGTAAGTGCACTCTATTTCTATTTCTAATAATAGGTTGTGCTGAGTAGGGTGAAACGTGATACTGAAAGGATGAAGAGTGAATATGAGTTACATAGCTTGTGATGAGTTTATTTAAGGAATAATATTCTAAATCTTATCTCATGCATTCACAGCAAAAGGTTTGGAAGTAGCAGGAATGTCTCATCAAAAGATTACAATGCCAGGAATAGACTCTCAGGTTACAAGAGATTCAGGGTCTTTCTGAGAACCCTCACAAAGTCTTTTAAGAAGGGGGCATATAGATCCTATTCAGGCCGGGCGTGGTGGCCCACGCCTGTAATCCAAGCACTTTGGACGCCAAGGTGGGTGGATTACCTGAGGTCGGGAGTTCAAGGCCAGCCTGACCAACATGGTGAAACCCCGTCTTTAAAAAATAAATAAATAGGCCGGGTGCGGTGGCTCAAGCCTGTAATCCCAGCACTTTGGGAGGCCGAGGCGGGTGGATCACGAGGTCAAGAGATCGAGACCATCCTGGTCAACATGGTGAAACCCCGTCTCTACTAAAAATACAAAAAATTAGCTGGGCATGGTGGTGCGTGCCTGTAATCCCAGCTACTCAGGAGACTGAGGCAGGAGAATTGCCTGAACCCAGGAGGCGGAGGTTGCGGTGAGCCGAGATCGCGCCATTGCACTCCAGCCTGGGTAACATGAGTGAAACTCCGTCTCAAAAAAAATAAAATTAAATTAAATTAAATAAATAAATAAATCATATCCAAACATTTTTTTTTACCACTAACTGGTTTTCAACAAATATTTTGTTCAGAAGGAAAAAAAGCATAAGAGGAGGAAATAAAAAACAGAACTATCATAAATCTATCTCTTAAAGAGAAGTCAATGGATTTACAATAATAATGTAGGAGTATAAAGCCAATTTAGTTGTATTTTAATATACTGATTATTGAATCAAAAACAAACTTAGTCAAAGGAAAGGAGAAAGGTAAATCATGCCTTCCTATGATAGGGCATAACCTATGCTCTCCCAGAGGCAATTCCTTATAGAATCTCCAGAGCCCAGCTAGCAATCTGCACATAATAGGTACTCTAATACAGGGGACTGAATGAATGTCTATAAGTAAAACAAGTGGTGAATTCTGTCAACCCACATCAACTGTACAGCAGGGGATAAACTAACATTTGCCAGGAATCAAAAAAAGCTATAGGACAGGATTCTTTTGGTGGGAGCCTATATTATTCAAACATGGATTAAAAAACAAGATGTAGGTCTCCTATGTAGGGGATCCAGCTCTTCTTTTGCTATAAACTCTTTCACACTCCAATACGAGAAGGTATCAAGTACCAAAATAATGACCAGAATCTGTGGACTAGTTTATTTCTTAGCATTTGTTATTCTAACTCTTTCATACCTAGTTCTGTCAAACTCTAACAGTTTGTCTTTATGCTTCATAGCTTTCTCCAGACCAGACTTAATTCGCATTTCTTGATGAGGAAGAAGGTCCTTGGTAGAGATGTCCATCTTTCCAGAATTCTCCACCCCTGAAATTCAATAAGGAAGTCAAACAGTGTCAACCTCTAAATACAAATTATTTGTATCAGTGTGCAGTAAAGAATAAAACATCGGAAGATCTGGTTCTGGCCTGATGGCCTGGAGCCTTCATTTCAATGGAAAACAAGTACACAAGCCAGGCCTTACTTGTACAGCATTAAGCAGTGCTTGACACACGACAGGTTTACAAATGCTAGGGATCTTTTCTTCCTTTATAAAAATTTGGCTAAGAGTACCAAAGTATTTAAGAATATGACATAAAAATGCCTTATCAGTGAAAAAGTTTACTAAGTAGGTCTGAATATTACCTTTAAACATACGGTTTTTCAAGACAGGGTCTAATGCTGTTGCCCAGTCTGGAGTGCAGTGGTATGATCATAGCTCACTGTAGTCTTGAACTCTTTTTTTTTTTTTTTGAGACGGAGTTTCACTCATGTTACCCAGGCTGGAGTGCAATGGCGCGATCTCGGCTCACCGCAACCTCCGCCTCCCGGGTTCAGGCAATTCTCCTGCCTCAGCCTCCTGAGTAGCTGGGATTACAGGCACGCACCACCATGCCCAGCTAATTTTTTGTAGTTTTAGTAGAGACGGGGTTTCACCATATTGACCAGGATGGTCTCGATCTCTTGACCTCGTGATCCACCCGCCTCGGCCTCCCAAAGTGCTGGGATTACAGGCTTGAGCCACCGCGCCTGGCCTTATAGTCTTGAACTCTTAGGCTCAATCGCTCCTCCCACCTCAGCCCCTCGAGTAGTTGGGAAAATAGGCATATGGCACTGTGTCTGGCTAATTTTTAAATTTTTGTAGAGAGGCGGTCTCACTATGTTGCCCAGCCTGGTCTCAAAGTCCTGGCTTCAATCAGTCTTCTCACCTCAGCCTCCCAAAGTACTGGGATTCCATACATGATCCACCATGAAAGCCTAAATATACTTTTATATATCAAAACTAAACACTAAATAATGAAAGAAAAAAAGAGAAAAATTTCACAAAAGGGGCAGAAATGAGCAGTTTCAGTTTAATGAGAACCTACTAAATGGTGAGGCACTTAATATACATGTTATTTAATTTTCACAATAACCCTGTAAGACAGTATGTATTAAAAAAAAAAAAAAGTTTGTATTGTCTTTGTTTTACAGATAAAGTGAAGTTCACAGATAACAATACATTTACTGAGTTCACACAGTTAGAAATTAGACCACAGAAGCAAAATCTAAGCTGGGTACAGTGGCTCATGCCTATAATCCCAGCACTTTAGGAGGCCAAGGAAGGTGGATCATGAGGTCAGGAGTTCGAGACCAGCCTGGCCAAGATGGTGAAACCCGTCTCTACTAAAAAGAAAAAAATTAGCTGGGTGCAGTGCTTTGCGCCTATAATCCCAGCTATTCAGGAGGCTGAGGCAGGACAATCGCTTGAACCTGGGAGGCAGAGGTTGCAGTGAGCCGAGATCACGCCATTGCACTCGAGCCTGGGTGACAGAGTGAGACTCTGTCCGCCCCCCAAAAAAGAAAAGAAACAAAATCTGAGCTCTAGTCTAACTCCACAGCCAACATTGATTCTATGGTTGTTATCTTCTTTGACAGCATGTTATAAATTTATATAGATCAGAAAAGAGAGCCATAGATTATGACACACCCAAGATCCAAAATGGGTTAGCTGGCTGAGTGTGTGGCTCACTCCCGTAATTGCGGCACTTTGGGAGGATGAGGTGGGAGGATCACTTGAGCCTAGGAATTCAAGACTAGCTTGGGCAAAATGGTGAGAACCCATGAATACAACCAATTTAAAAATTAGCCAAACATGGTGGTACGTGTCTGTAGACTCAGCTACTTGGGAGGCTGAAACAAGAGAATAGCTGCAGTAAAATGTGTTCATACCAATGCCCTCTAGCCTGACAGAGTGAGACCTTGTCTACAAACAAACAAAGAAAGCACTTCGAATTAGAACTATTTTTTCTCAGAATAATTACCTTAAAACCAAATTGAAGAAAACATATGTAGTTGTATGTGCAACCTCATTAATAATAAAATTACAGGCCAAGCGCAATAGCTCACATCTGTAATCCCAGCGCTTTGGGAGGCTGAGGTGGGTGGATCACCTGAGGTCAGGAGTTTGAGACCAGCATGGCCAACATGTTGAAACCCCGTCTCTACTAAAAATGCAAAAATTAGCTGGGTTTGGTGGCGGGCACCTATAATTCCAGCTACTCAGGAGGCTGAGGCAGGAGAATTGCTGGAATCCAGAGGCAGAGGTTGTAGTGAGCCAAGATCACGCCACTTCACTCAAGCCTGGGTGATAGAGACTCCGTCTCAAAATGAAATAAATAAATAAAATAAAATTATAGCTTTTTACAACTAAAACAAATTTGAAATGTCAAAACTCAAGAGTGAACAGCTTTCTGAGTACAATGCTAATATTGCTATAGATTAATACAATATTTTAATAAAAAAATTTGGGAAATATATCTCAAGTGTCAAAAAGATCACATTATTTGATGTAGTAATATTATTTTTAGGAATTTATCCCAAGGAAATAAATCAAAAGCTATGTTAACAAAGGTAACGATTTGTGATATTATTTAAAAGTTGGAAACAAATATCCAGTACCTGGGAAATAATATTATAATAAATCAAGTTAAAAGACTATTTTTAGCTACTAAAAATAATTATGAAGAATATATAGCAAGATAGAAGCTAATTATGAATTAGTTGGAAAAAATGGACAAACAAATGTTTTTACACATATTATATTATAATCCCAACCAATCTGTCTATATAAAGCAAAAACTACTATGAACCAAGGTAGGAACAAAATGAAATATTTGCATAAGCAGTGAGTAATGAGTATATTATTTTTTCTTTTAATAATGTCCTCAACAGACCATGTGTGGTGGATGAGATCCCAGCACTCTGAGAGGCAGAGGTGGGCGAATCACCTGAGGTCACAAGTTCGAGACCAGCCTAGCCAACATAGGGAAACCCCATCTCTACTAAAAATACAAAAAATAAAATTAGCTGAGCATGGTAGTAATCCCAGCTACTTGGGAGGCTGAGGCAGGAGAATCGCTTGAATCTGGGAAGCGGAGGTTGCAGTGAGCTGAGATCACACCACTGCACTCCAGCCTAGGCAACAAGAGTGAAACTCTGTCTCAGAAAAAAAAAAAATAAAACAATTTAAAAATAATAATGTCCTTAACTATTTTTGTCAGGTGTGTTGCAAGCATAAAAGGCTTACAAAACCACCAAAATCTAGACCAATAAGGGTAGAAAAAAAAAAAAAAAAGGCTGACAAAATAAGTAGAGTTCCTATATAACCTTCACACAGTTTCCTTTAATGTTACCATCTTATCTTACAAAACCATAGCACAATTATCAAAACTGAGAAATTAACATTGGTATAACACTACCAACAGACTATTTGGATTTTAACATTTTTTTCCTTAATGTCATTTTTCTGTTCTAGGATCCAATACTGGATCTATACTGCATTTAGTCATCACATATGTCCTTAGTCTACTCCAATCTGTGACGTTTCTTCAATCTTTTCTTGTCTTTCATCACATTGTAAATCTCTTATTCTTAAACTTTCACCCAGTAATTTCACCACCCATTGGTGGATCATGCTTGTGGCAGTTACGACTGTGGTGTTCTAACTGTGATTTTCTAGTATTTTCATTTCTTGTACTACTTTAACTGGAATTTTTAAAGATGTCAGCCGAGCACGGTGGCTCACGCCTGTAATGTCAGCACTTTGGGAGTCCGAGGCAGGAGGATCATGAGGTCAAGAGATTGAGACCATCCTGGCCAACATGGTGAAAACCTGTCTCTACTAAAAATACAAAAATTAGCTGGGCATGGTGGCACGTGCCTGTAGTCCCAGCTACTCAGGAGGCTGAGGCAGGAGAACCACTTGAACCTGGGAGGCGGAGGATGCAGTAAGCCAAGATCATGCCACTGCACTCTAGCCTGGGCAACAGAGTGAGACTCCATCTCAAAAAAGAAAAAAGAAAGAATAGTTGTCCTCTCTCGATTTTATTTATTTATTCAGTTATTTATACAAGTGTGATCTCATGGATATTAATTTTATTCTTTAGATTATAATGTAATACTATTATTTATTTTGCTGTTCAACATTATGTAGTCTTAATAATTTTTTTAAAAAATAGCTGCTTATAGAATGAGTGAATAGGCCAGGCAGCCGGGCATGGTGGCTCACACCTATAATCCCAACACTTTGGGAGGCCAAGGCTGGTGGATCACAAGGTAAGGAGTTGGAGACCAGCCTGACCAACATGGTGAAACCCCATCTCTACTAAAAATACAAAAATTAGCCGGGCGTGGTGGTTCATACCTGTAGTCCCAGCTACTCAGGAAGGTGAGGCAGGAAAATCAATAGAACCCAGGAGGCAGAGGTTGCAATGAGCCGAGATTGTGCCTCTGTACTCCAGCCTGAGTGACAGGGCAAGACTCTGTCTCAAAAGGCCAAAAAAAAAAAAAAAAAAAAAAAAAGGCCAGGCATGGTGGCTCCCACCTGTGATCCCAGCACTTTGGGAGGCTGAGGCAGGCGGATCACTTGAGGTCAAGACATCAAGACCAGCCTGGTCAACATGGAAAAACTCATCTCTACTAAAAAAAATACAAAAATTAGCCAGGTGTGGTTGCACATGCCTGTAATCCCAGCTTCTTGGGAGTCTGGGGCAGAAGAGTAATTTGAACCCAGGAGGTAGAGATTGCAGTGAGCCAAGATTGTGCCAGACTCCATCACAAAACATCAACAACAAAACAGAGAATGAGTGAATAAATTGCATGTTGCATTCCAGGATACAGGAAAGAGAGAAAAAAGAAACAATTAAAGACACAGGTACCCATTATCACAGTGATCCAATTAGAAGACTGCTGTTTACCTGACATGAGCTTCTTTAGCAGTTTCTGGCTCTTGTTTGAGTCACGCTGTAAAATATCTTGTTCCTCTTGAGTACATACCTATAAAATAATAAGAGTAAGACATGTGATCCAATAGTTAAATTACATTGTTTTCTTGATATACCTAAAAGTAACCTCAAATTATACATTAGATGATGGCAAAATTGGACTACTGGATTTTGCTTTTTTTTTGAGAGAGAGAGAGAGAAAATCTCACTCTGTAGCCCAGGCTGGAGTACAGTAGCGAGATCTTGGCTCACTGCAACCTCTACCTCCTGTATCCCAGTTCAAGCAATTCTCCTAACTCAGCCTCCTAAGTAGCTGGGATTACAGGCACGAGCCACCATGCCCAGCTAATTTTTGTATGTTTTAGTACAGACGGGGTTTCACTATGTTGGCCAGTCTGGGCTTGAACTCCTGACCTTATGATCTGCCCACCTTGGCCTCCCAAAATTTCTGGGATTACAGGCATGAGCCACCATGCCCAGCCACTATTGGTGTTTTTAATCCAAACACATCAATACTAAATGCAAATGAGTTTTTCTCCACATTTCTTTCCATTTCTTTCTTTTTTTTTTTTTGAGATGGAGTTTCATTCATTACCCAGGCTGGAGTGCAATGGCGTGATCTTGGCTCACCGCAATCTCCGCCTCCTGGGTTCAGGCAATTCTCCTGCCTCAACCACCTGAGTAGCTGGGATTACAGGCACGCGCCACCATGCCCAGCTAATGTTTTGTATTTTTAGTAGAGATGGGGTTTCACCATGTTGACCAGGGTGGTCTCAATCTCTTGACCTCGTGATCCACCCGCCTCAGCCTCCCAAAGTGCTGGGATTACAGGCTTGAGCCACCGTGCCTGGCCATTTCTTTCTTTTTTATGAGCCGAACAATAAACTTATATCAGCTGGGTGCAGTGGCTCATGCCTGTAATCCCAGCACTTTGGGAGGTTGAGGTAGGTGGATCACGAGATCAGAAGTTCAAGACCAGCCTAACCAACATGGTGAAACCCTGTCTCTACTTAAAAATACAAAAATTAGCCAGGTGTGGTGGTGCACACCTGTAATCCCTGCTACCTGGGAAGCTGAGGCAGGAGAATTGCTTGAACCCAGGAGGCAGAGGCTGTGGTGAGCCGAGAGCGCACCATTGCACTCCAGCCTGGGTGACAGAGCGAGACTCAAAAAAAAAAAAAAAAAAAA